GGAAATTGATCGCAGACCACACTCTTCTTGAGAAAAAACCCTTCGCAAACGACAATTCAATCAACTACCATTTAGCCTAGGTTAATAGGAACTCCCACACGCAAAGCTCATCGATGCTGCTGGTTTCAACTGCGTTCATAAATTCTCAAAGCAGTCTTGCTCATTTATGAATTTAATACATAGCACCAACCACGTGTGGAGTTAGCAGCCACGGATCTTCCAAAAGAGCTTCACAGTGCACTCTTTTTAAATGCAAAGCTGTGTACAATCCTGCTCCTGTTGCGACAGCCAGTAATCGTAGCCTGAAAACCATTGAAGAAAGCATGCAAAAAAAAAAAAAACTATGGCTATCGTGAAAGACTGCCTCCCATGATGCTTTCACCTTGAAATTTATCTACATTACTTACATTATAACTTTATAACTACATTCTTATTACTGTGAGGGGTGGTGAGCAGGGAAGGAAAGAAGAGGCGAAGTAAATGATTAAAATTAAAGTTTAATTAATAAAATGAAAAAGGTGCGGGAATGTTGCTGGTTGGGGTGGGTGCACCGTACTTGTCCATCATTGAACGCAAAATCAAAATCCAACATTAGGTAAAAAAACACGTTCCTAAGCACCATTACTTTCTCGCGAACTACATTTTCACCGAAAAAGGCACTGTTAAAAAGAAAAAGGAATAAATTGCAAAGAAAAATAATAAGGTAACCTTAAGAAATGAGAATTGACATACCTAATTGATGCTCGGCCAGGTGACGACGCCACATAGGTAGTGATCGATCGACGGGCTAAGAATGATGATCCAGTACGTAAAGGACCGACTAATCGTAACGATAACATTCAATTCTTCAACCCTCCCTGAAGCGAAGCTCAATTATATGGTTACATTGAGATCCAAAATCAATCGATAATCGACATATTATGATCGAAATCTGAAGAAATATTGCTACCGATGCACAGTCAGGAAACAAGCAACGATTAATTCTTAGTTTTATAATCATCACGATATCGGAAATATAGAACAATAATCTCTCAAAGTCCTGGACAAACACGGACGGTTTCCAAAAGAGCAAGACCTTTTATAAGGGTGACATCACAATAAACACCACTGGGCGGGACCTCGTGATAAATCAATGTACAAAAGAGGGCGTTGCATGACATATTCACAGTTAGAGTGGATGAGACTAATGGAACTCGTAAAAAATAAAAAAATACTTATAATTTCGCGAAGTAGTTATAAACAACATCAAAAAACAACCGTATGCAATAGGCGAAAATTAAATTAGTCAACGTTACAGTACAATCAGGCAATACCAGTTTCTGTAAATAAATATTTCCTACATTAGGAGGCCTAATTGGAAGGTGCCTGGAAGGGCTGACAACAAGTAAACAAAGAAAAACGAAGAAAAATGGCGGAAAACAACGGTAAACAGCCATTACTTCGGGGGTGAACCCATCGTTCTACGCGACCCTAACCTAGCAGCCGTTTACACTCATCTGTACATCTGGGGCACAGCCGACGAGCATATTACTTAGCTAGAGCGGCTATCGACTGGAACCATTCATCTCATAATTAGCCCCAACGCAGCAGGCGCTCTGATTAGCATAAGAAGCACTGGAACCATTGGAACCGCTGGAACCAACCCATTAGAATTGTCCCTGTACGACTCACTATAAATCCCGGCATGCTTCTTTACAGTTCTGAGGTTTTTCTTCTGAGCTGTTAAACCGAGATGGCAACAATTTTTATTAGGCTGACGTTTCGGTGCCTTCACCTTGTGACCAACCCTCAGAAGGAATTGAGCCCACATCTGATCAATATCCACATGCACAACAAAACAGATGCTCCTTAGGTTCAAGTGCCTCATAAAACTCAAGCACCATCGTCCTTTTGATCAAATGATCTGATGTCGCTACTCAGCGGTTCCGTTGTCCATAGATGCTGTTCCGGGATATCGTCTGAAAAGTTGAAGACGAAGATCGATTGAGAACGGAAAACTTATAGTGCAAGCTATTAAATCGGATAATGATGAGAGCGAGGGCTTCATAAAAAGCTAATTCCTTTGCAAACGTCCCCGCACCACGTGATACGACCCCGTAAGAACCGAAATTTCCCACAAACCCATTCGAAGCCTCTCTCCGAGCAAGTGGTATAGAGATGGTCGAAATAAGTCGAAAAGAAAATCAAACAAAAAAGGACAAAGCTATCTAATCGATTTTCGAAAAAGTGGCCAAATGACGTCACTGACCTCGTCATCTGGCTTTTTCTTTCTCTTTGACGAACGTTTCGAACGAGATCGTGCTTCCTCGAACTCCCTACGAGAATTTTCTTCCCATTCCTTCACCTCTTGAAGCTCTTCTTCATCTATGTCACCATTTATGATGTTCTCGTAATATTTTTGAGAGCGAGTTTGCTCGGCATCGAGCGGTCCTGAAAATAGGCGCTCTCATTTCTCGATGGGAACAACACATAGAAAGTAAAATTCACCACACTCCGATCCCAGTGGCGAGACAAATCCACGCAACTCTGTGAAACGTTCCGGAATTTGTTCGACATGGAATCGAGTACCGCTCTCGTTTCCTTTCTTCACCTTCTTTCGATAGAACAATGTATAGGCCTGACGTTCAGCTTCCAAATCTGCAAAACAGAATTCGTCATAACTCGATCCAATTCGATTTCCTCCAAGTGCGCATCGAAAGCCAGACTTTGTTTACGACAAGGAGCTCTGGCCAAGGGCAGTGATCAAGGGCAACGAGGAAAGAACCGCTCTCGCATCAAACACCAGCCACTTATGAGATGCATGTAAAACTTGTTGTTTATGTCTTTGGGATAAGGGACGGAGACGAACAGAGTGCTAAGTACGCCACTACAACACGCTGTGGAGATAATGTCCTTGGACCGAGACATACCCAGACCTAATGAGCCTTTGTTAGTCCCTTTGAAAGGGTAAAAGCATTTAATTTGATATTGGCTAGCTCCTTGATCTGTTATAAGTTCAGTACGAACGTCACAAGTCCTAATTAGACTTGAATGTCTCTATGCACCCCAGAGTATCTTTAGACTGTATGAGTAACTAGTATCTATAGGTTAATATAAGTAACTTTGAATGCCGTCATCGTGGGGAACTTATTAAGATGATTTAGAAGAATAAAAAGAAAGAATTAAACAGTTTGTAGGGATAACTGTAATGGGAAGCACCCCGCTTCGAAATAATCCGTTTCGCGAAGATTAAATGTCTGCAAAATAAAGTAAACAAACTTCTGCAAAAATGTCCTCAAATCGATTAATAAGCTAGCTTTCTCCATAACACCATTGCGAAAAGAAGAATAAAAATCTACTTCCGGCACTTTTCATTCGACCCACCTGGTTTCGGCCCTTCCTGCTTCTCCTGGATCCTTCGAAGATACTCTGATCCATATTTGCGATAGAACTAAAAGAGAATATAAGAAGTTGGAAAAATTCTTGGAAAAAAGCGAACTTTTCCCCAAGAATATCAAGCGCGATCAACGCATAACGTTATACAGGAAGAAAACGAAAGAAAAAAAAGAAATTTGAGGCGAATTTCACCTAAAATTGGAACTGATGTTTAATCAGGCAAATAGATTCCTGGATCTGCGGAACATTATCGAAATTCTCTGTTAAGGTTAAAAATGGGCTGCATCTTTGGTGATCTAAACGTTTTATAAACCTCTGTATCAGCCATTTGTGTGCAACAATCTTTCAGAAAAGAGGCCGAGTGCATGGTACGTAAGGAAGGGGAATAGTCATTGAGAATCGAGTTTCGGATCTGCGAAATCAATTTGAAAGAAAAGCCTATAGGAAATTAACAGGAACACTCCCCCTTCTCCTGTGTAAGCTCCTTTGCAAATAGATTGTTGACGTATGAAATATATTCTCTATAAAACCACTATTCGAAATAAACTGGTATTGCAAAAAACTACTTTCGGAATCAGAGACACCTCCAAATTGTTGCAAAGCTGCAAGGCTCACGGGATTGCAAGAGAAATGGTCATCTATGACAAATGCATTTCTCTCAGGGCAAGCAAATAGAAAGTTCAAGCTAGAGAAACCATCAGTGCGATGACGTAATGAGATACAAAATGACGAAATTTGAAGAAAATGGCGAGTGCGACAGAAAAAAGGAGGAATTAGTTTTTCAAGGCAAAAAAAAAGGCGACTGACATGAGCTGAATTAGAAAACGCTAATAGCATTAGCTCGAGCATGACCAAAAGGCAGACGTTTCTTAGAACTAAATGAAGGTTTAAGGTAGGCGGAATTGTGAGGGAGAAGAATAATGTCCATCTCATAGAGAGAAAATAAAACAGCTCAGTCACAATAAACTCGATTCAATTTATGAAGAGCAGAAGGATTGTATTAGAGTTTGAACAGCATGCAGCTGCAATAAGTCCCACGCCTTACGCTTTTCATGCTGTTTGTTTCCGAACGGCTTCGAAACAAAGTGCAACAACTCCACTGGTCCTCTTTTCGCCGTCAATCAATAACGATAAACTCAATAAGAAGCCCAACTTTACGTCATTGATGAACGAGAGATTTACCAACTTTACGCCATTGATGAACGAGAGATTTAAAAAAAAGCAAGAAAAGCAGACTTGGCAGTTATTCACCTTCAACATAGAAAGAAAGCAACCGCGCTAACCGCTTGGACTGGACGGAGTGAAGATTTAGTTAGGCTATTGTTGTCCCTAAGAGTTATTGTTCCATTCAAAGCAAAAGAGAAAAAAGAATTTCAAAAATGTAATCGATCAAAGAGCTGATAAGCAACTGTGTCGAATTAGCCGAAGGTGGCCGATGTATAGAACTGGTTACAACTCATGATTAACAAACTCCTGCGCAAATTGAAAGGGTTCTTTTGTCAAAAAAAAANAAAAAAAAAACCTTTGTTCCAATAGACTAAATTAAAAAGCCTAAAAAAGGAAAGGATAGCTTATCGAAGCAATTTTTTTAAATGCAAAAGTTCAAGCAAGCCAGAAATCGTTGGACTTTGTAATCATACGATAGCCACTTGAGCGCAGTTGTTAGACATCGGACAAATGATAGACTATTGACAGGAAGTTGTTTATCGTGGTATAGAAAGACTAACAGCACAAATTTCTTATTCAAAAGAGAACCGGTCAACGAAAAACTGCCCTTTGGATCACAACTTCGATAGAGCCACATGGACGAATTTCTGAAGAATGAGGTAGGATGAATGCAAAATGGAACCTCAAAAGACCACTCCATCAGAGTTTGACAGAGCTCCAAAAGGAGAACTTGGGAGCTGTTGAAGAGATCTCACCCCCTGGCCCCACAGGATCTTCAAAAAAAAAATAGTGAGCTCTATGGAAACGGTAATGAGAGTTTCCAGGTGAGTTCGATAACAATAAGATATCATCACTGAATTAAATCTAACAAAAATCATTACCAAGCGCTCCTGCGACAGTTCCTGCTGCAAAAAAAAAAACAGGTCTGGGAATATGCGACAGCCACACGCACACACCCACATGTGCGCCTACGTGACGTGTCCTCATGGTGACGCGCACTGCTTGCGCTCCGAGGCCGGGCGGTAGGCCACGTCATCCATGGCGAGATAGAGACAGCAAGAATTCATACATACAGCACGTAGGGAATACCCAGTCACGTGATCATTGCATCGGGGGCCCACTCAGCAAAAAAAATATTACAGCAATAATTACAACCACACCCTGGACACAGCATTGCTCGGCAGGACTTTAAGATGACTATTCGCCAAGCTGCAAATAAAGCTCTACAGAAGCGTCGGACAAAAGGGTCAGTTAGTTCTCAGGAAGTTAGCGAACGTTGATAAGGGTCACAACAAAACCCAGACGCCCACAGCATACTCGATTTTCCAAGCATTCACAATGGGAAGTCTAACCCCTTTTAAAACCTACTAATTGTCTGATAAAAATCGTCAAACATTCCCAAACCCATACAAAGACTTTTGACAACCAATGTGGGTGGGGGAATACATGGCGCAAACGGAAAAGATTGGCTACTTCGACGATTTCCTGTTTGACCTTCATCTTTTGACCTATGCCATAGGTAAATGAAAACATTAGCGCTGCATATGAAATGGCCAATAAAATTGATCACGACACTCTCGAATCATCAGAGATAGAACGAGAGAAATCAGAGGTGCTGGTCAATCATCATGTTTACCCTATGCTAAAACATCATAGCCCAAAGTCCAGTGTTTGAAATTATTTCAAGGCCGCATCATGCGACAGAAATAGTGGCGGTAATCAGCTCAAAAGACGCCACTATCTTGAGAAAACCGTACCGATCAACATTGCTAAATTAGTATTTTGCTTGATTAGTACACAAGTCCTCAAATGGCCAAAATATTATTTACAACTACTCAATTTTATTAGGACATTTCAACATAACACGATGGGAACAATGTCGTATTATTCTTCTACATTGCCCATGTCATCATAAGGGACTCTGGAAGAAAGCAAGGGCATAAAAAATTGAAACTACCAATCGCCCGAAAGAAAAATGTTGGAAAGCTTCCTTATAGTTGCAAACTGAACTCTCATCTCTAAAGAAGTAGCTTTTAATTGTCAGACCAAAATTATTCGTCGTTCGCTAACTTCTGCTACTTTTTTTTTCAGCGAGAACTATCCTACTTACAACAGCTTTGCAAACTACTTTCAAGAGAATGGTCGTGTTCAGGCAAATCGCACTCTACAAGTGAGGATATTGCACAACTGGGCGAAAAAATCGAAGAAAAGACATTTTTTATTGAATGAAATCATTTTCTTCGGCATTTAACAGCCTAAAGGAGAAGGTCAGAGGGATCTGATGAAATAGGGTCATTTCATGGTCACCCAAAGGGCGAACACACCACTACTTGCACTCGATGTTAGATCTACCTGCACTTTATGTTGACCATGGGATATAAGGAAAATATTTGGTGCCAGCCAACTATAAGTACGAAATCTCCACTGATAAGAAGAATCAGGGCTGAGCTCATGGGAACCAGGCTCCCCACTTACGTCAAATGTAAACCAAGAGTCTCCTCCTCGTTATCACAGCAACTTCTACGAACTGATATCATAACAATCTCGTCGAATGCTTCCTCGTTAGAAGTTATCAAATCAAGGTCCTTTTCAGTGGCGGGTGGGACAGAGTTCCGAGGGATTCGATCCCCAAGACCAATATCAACGCCCCTATCTTCTCAACAACTATATGATTCAAACAAACATCCGAAAGAAAGAAAATTTGGGAAGTTCGGAAGAAACAAATCGAAACGAATAAAATTGTGGAAAAAGCCAGTGAAAGAATAAAAAAAGAGAAAAAAAAAGTAAAAAAAAAAA